TGTTGCTTCATGTTCCTTGCAACATTTAACAGTAAGAATGCAAGGAGCTACGGGAACAATTTAGATGACAACAACAACAACAACAACGGGCAACTAAATTCACCTCCTTTCAAAATCAATAAGCTACTAAACTAAACTTGTAGACCTCAAATGAATCATCGTCTTGTGAGAAATGTGACGTTTTCTGATCATTCCCAGAGCAGCTTGTCACTGCTGGTTCTTCCTCTTTGTCTTAACCGAAGAGGATAAACATGTTGAGGAGAGATTTCTTTATTATCCGCTCGCTCCTTCCGCCATCTGGCATCGCACTCAAAAGTTTAGCTCCATTTGCTCTAGAGGAATAACTCGTTTTGAGCCATAAAGCAAAACAGCATATTTTTCTCCAAATCTAAATTGCACCATAAAGGCCGACTATGCAATGTGTGCATATTTACTGATGTTTAAAACTAACATGCTGAACCTTTAAACTCATTCCGCTAATGCTAATGGGCCATGTTATTGCAGGAATTTGAAACAACAAAACCCTAAATATTCTGAGTGAGGATGTTTTCCCAAAGCTGTTACTGCTGACAGAGTAGGTCGCAAGTTTTAGCGCACACACACACACACACACACACACACACACACACACAAAAAAAACAAATAACATCCTTAAACCGAGCCACATGGCAATTAGTTGTAAAGGGCGGTCAATAGGATCCTCCCGTCATGCTCTGACAGGCCACACACACACAAACCATGTGCGTCAGTGCGAGCCGTTTGTTTAATGATCAAGCGGCCCGGTGCTGTGCTGCATCACTTCGAGCGGAGTGAATAGGTGATGAAAGGGAAATGAGAGGTAGCACACATAATTAAATGCACACGTCACGCGTCACGGACAGTGGGGACGAGAAGCAGAAATACACCCCGCTATTCTAAATCAGGTGGAGACTCAACAGAGATTCTAACAAACTTCTCAAAGGGACGGACTGGAAAGAGTCAGGAGGAATATAAATAGATGAACAAAAGCAAGCTGAAGGGAAGTTGAACTCTTCCCCCAAGAAATATTGTTATAAAGTGTAAACGGTCACACTGCTGCGCATTCCCAACGTTGCAAACGATGCACTGCAGGTTCTTAATGCGGCAGCCAAATCAACTTATAGCTAAAGAGCAGCATATTGCTGCAGATATTTTTCAGCGTTTCTGTCCCAGTATGTCTGCTGCTTTCTTTAAAAAAAAAATGCAACATCAGCACCCTACGGACACAACAGCTCCGGCAATTTAGTCTGACACCATATCCACACTGTGAGAAATCAGGCTGGAGCGTTTATTTCCTACAAAGCCGAAGAGTCGGGGTAATCTGGTCGATGTGTGAACGGACAACAAGCTTGTTTTGTTCCACAACTGATAGGATTTTGTACTTTAGTACAATTTGTACATTTCAGTCAGAACTTTGCAGCTTTAGCTTCTCACGCAGTCAGACAAAAGTACCTATAAAAACTACTGACAAAGTCATTGAACAACACAGAGAAGAGTAAACGGAGACTGTCCATACTTAACTTTGAACAACAAAAGTTCTACGTACATCCTGATGCTCTCTACAACCCTGCACCGACGGCTTTAACCAACAAATAAGCCTTTTCTTGATGTTTACTTTGTGACATATTATCTATATGAACATTGCACTTCAGATAAAAGTGTTTTTTTCCTCCATTTTAATTAAGCTCAAAGATACACTGTGTGGGCTGCAGGCTACGAATGACCTGCCGAAAAATGAATTACATCTCCTCAAATATCCCCGAACAGAACAAATAACAGAAATTTACTTTCGGGGGTTTTTGCCCTCTGGTCAAGCACCCATGAAGCTGGCTGCAGCTCGTCAACGTTTCCATCACACGTCGTCTCTCTCAAAGGTGGGTAACATAAAAAAAAATAATTTAAAACTATATCATTATTACAAAAACAAAGCCGCTACTGAAGTGTTCACCGTGCAGATCCTTTTCATGTCTACGTGCATGATGTCCTGATCGTATGTTAAGTAGGCTGACGAAGCAGACCGATTTCAAAAGACTGCGACGGCGTTCTGCAGTCTCAGTGGCCCAAGAGTTTCTAAAAATAAAACTCTTTCAACCAACAGATCTGTTGCACAGTGCTCCAGACATTAAAGGAGATATGTGCAAAAGCAGGAGATTAAAGGGAAGCCAGCTTGAGGAAGCACAGTGTGACTGTGTGTGTGTGTGTGTGTGTGCTCTCTCGTATATCTATCTTTTCAAGAAACCTTGTTATATTTTAAACATTTTAGATCTGCAGGCTGAATATGAAGCTAAAAGCAGGAGATGGTTCGCTTTAGTATAAAGACTGGAAACAGAAGGACCTCGAAAGTCCACTAATTAACACCCTATGGGCCCTATTTAAACGATCAATGGACCATGGCCTGAAGTGCATTTAGATCGTGTCCAACTCCACTGCTGCTCGTTACACGCTGTGTAATCTGGGCACATAGTAAGGCCCAAGGGGCAAAGGAGTTCTCTTTAGTCTCTTAAAAAAAAAAAATCATAAGTGTGTTTTTGGCGTAACATGAATTAAACCAGAGATTAAAACATGTTGGAGATCATGGAAATGATTACATCTATTTTTTTATCCAATGCATTTTGACTTTACAACACTTTAGGTATTAAAAATTGTTGAAAGAAAAAGAAAAGTTGATCAGCATTCAAATGTTGATTTAGAACATGCGAGCGTTATGAATGAAGAGAGGGGGGGGGGGTCAGACCCAGCTTAGCCTTTTTTATGCTAAGATAAATTTACAGTATAATGGCTCTAGTTTCATATCTATCATACAGACATGAAAGTGGCATGAATCGTCTCTTATAAGTCTGAACAACAAAGCGAAATACCCAAAAGTGTCTGGCGCAAAATATTAAGGGACTTACAAGTATAGAAGTACAAATGTGTGTATGCGAGTGCTGACCTAATTGTACGCTGGAAAATAGAGAAAACGACAAAGAAAATGTGTGATTACAGTTATGTATGCTGTGGCTGTGAAATGACCAAATCAATTATTCATCACAGAAATCTGCTCATAGTGTCACCTTTCAGTATTGCACCAGGGAGGACGGTCCCATGGTGGACCGGAGGAGTGATAATGAGGGCAGAAACAAGACAAAGCAGCCCCGCATGACACCAACAGCTTCCAACACATTTAATGAAGTAGCATTTCACAGACACTGAGCTTCGTCAGGCGAACAATAAAGTCTTTTGATCCCGATGCCTGTAAAAAGATGTTGGATGTGCATGCTCAATATACTCTGTTTGTTTAAGGACGTGATAATGAGCAGTTCTTCATGCAAAGTTTGCAAAAACTTTGCTCCATGTACACAGATGAATGATATTTTGACTATTTGTTTTTACGTTGATTGCCTATAAAAAGACCCTTCTGAATTCTTTAGTGAATAACGGTGTGGTCCTGTTAAAGTGAAGCTGTGTTTAACGGCACTGTAACCTTCGTTGGAATTCCCCCACAGGGCACAATAGGCAGAGAATGGGTCAGCCATTGGGAGTAAACGAAGGATTAGAGCGTCAATAAATAACCTCACTTTAAATGACCTTTGTAATTTAGCTTGATTCAGTTGAAAGTGTGTCCTGTCCCATTGGGGAGATGTGGGGTCGCCGGCAGGGTTTAAACACCTCACAAGTCACCTCCTTATCAGCGCGGAGACAAAGGAAGGGAGCCAGCTTATAGACTTTTAATGCTCGGTTGTTGCAGCTGCACGGCCTGCCTTATTAGAGTAGGGAAGCACCAGTGTTGTCAATTTGCCCTGTTGGCCTCACTTAATCTTTATGGCTCACGAAACATGGAGCGATACTCGCCATCACAATGATGTGGAGGGTCATTCATCTTTATTTAACATCTCCAAAACAAAAGTGCAAAAAGTGAATCTACTCGAATATAAGCTGCAAATGTTTGTATATCAGGCTAACTAGCTTACTACCTACAGTTAGCGCTGGGCGATATGGATAATATTTTGATATGTTTAGGATATGGCTCGACATACGATATACACTGCTCAAAATTAAGGGAACACTTAATCATCACCTCTATGATCTCGATCTGTCCATCAATTTCACTCGCTTTGGTGCAAAATGAAAGCGAGAAGAGGTGGACAGGAGAGGCAACAGCAAGACATCCCCCCCAAAAAAGGGAATGGTTTTTCAGGTGGTGGCCACAGACCATTTCTCTCTCTCTGATCCTTCCTGCAGTTCGTGAGGGAACACAGCTCGTATGTGACATTTTTGGAGGGCTTTCATTTTGAAATTCCATATCAGAATGTCCTGCTCTTGTCTGAAGGAGGTCAGCCACCATTTTAAAAGTGAAATTCTTCTCTGGACATCTTTCTCATTAAGTTTGATCAACTATTCCCACAATTTTTCCTCGATTTTCTTTTCTCTCTATAATACAGTTTGCAGGCAGTATTTTTTGTTGAATTATCTTCTTTATTGTTTAATATGTATTCATAGTGTTTATGTATTTATTATTGACTATTGAATGATTGTGAGATTGCCTATCACCTTTCTTGTTCCGCAAAACAACATGAAGGGTAGTTTGACCGTCTTTCGAAGTGGAGGCTGACAGTACTGTTTCCAGACTCAACACATACAGTACAAACACTTCTCCGATCCCTCCAGAGACATACACACACTGCACACACGTGCTCACTTCTTTTTGTGCCTGAGACATGATTTGTACTCTGTGGTCGTGATAGAGTCCCTTACTACATCCAGCGTAGAACAAGCCACAATACAGCGAGTATGCTGGATAGACCACCCACCCCTACCTACAGCAGTGGCTTGGAGCCAGTGTTACAGCGTCCTAAAATCATGCTGCTCCACGTTTGCATGTAAGCTAGCGTACTCGGATGACACTCTGACACATTCACGTGTGTGATTTTTTTACACTTGCGCGGATTGGGACACGTTTCCTCTGACCGTGTGTGTGTGTGTGTGTGTGTGTGTGTCCTTACCCTGAAGTCAATGCCCACAGTGGAGATGAAGCTCCCGGCTAGAAAGGCTCCATCTTTGAAGCGAACCAGCAGACAGGTCTTCCCAACACCTGAATCCCCCACCAGCATCACCTGAGACAGACACAGACAGACAGACAGACAGGAGAGGAAGAGAATGGCTCGGATGTTACAAGTCAAAGTCCTGTGTGTGTGTGTGTGTGTGTGTGTGTGTGTGTGTGTGTG